CCACTTTTCCAACCTGTCCAGATCTGCCTGGATTCATTCCCTACACTCTGGTGTGTTAACTTTATCCCATAGTTTGGTATCATCTGTGAATTTGGACAGAGTGCTTTCCACACCTTTATCCAAGTTGCTGATGAAGACATTGAACAACACGAGTCCCAGGATTGAGTCTTGTGAGACTCCACTGCCCACATCTTTCCAGGTTGATACCAACCCATCCACCACCACTCTCTGGGTGCAACCCCTAAGCCAATTTGCCACCCACCCGACCATGTAATCATTTATGCCACAGCCGCTCAGTTTATTTGTGAGAATAGAATAAGATACCGTATTGAAGACCTTCTTAAAGTCCAAGTACATGGCATCTACCTCAATTCCTGCATCTAAGCATTTTGTGACCTGGTCATAAAAAGAAACAAAGTTAGTCAGGCAGGATCTACCTGTTATGAATCTGTGCTGGTTGCCCTTTAGGATGGCTTTCCCCACCAGACTCCCACAAATGTGATCCTTAATAATTTTTTCAAGGGTTTTCCTGAGGATAGAGGTGAGACTAACCGGTCTATAGTTACCCGGATCGTCCTTCCTCCCCTTCTTGAAAATGGGGACTACATTAGCCCTTTTCCAGTCCTCTGGGACCTGACCTGAGCATCAAGAGTGGTTAAACAGCTATGCTAGTGTTTCTGCTATGACACTGGCCAATTCCTTCAGCACCCTTGGATGAAGATCACCAAGGTCTGCTGACTTAAACACATCCATCCCCTCCAACTGTCTCTTTACTAAGTCAGTGCTAACAGTTGGTGAGCTGATTTCCCTTTTGTGCTTGTCTATGATCCAATTGGGAGATTTGTCCTGATCTGAGTTCAGGAATTCAGAGGCAAAAAACTCATTGAAGAGCTTATCTTTGTCCCCCCATCTGTCACTAATTACCCTAGTTTGTCCTATAGGGGTCCTATGCTACTCTGCACCTTCTTTTTGCTCCCTATGTACCTGAAGAAGGACTTTTTGTTGTCTTTAATTTTTGTTGCCATTCTTCTAGATTTTCTTAAATCAGAAAAAAATAGAGCTGAGAGGTACAGAAGGTCCTTCAATCCGTCCCCCTGCTCAAGGCAGGGTCATCCCTATCTAAACCATCCAAGATAATTGTTTGTCTAACCCAGGGGTGGGCAATTATTTCGGCTGGAGGGCTGCTTAACGAGGTTTGGTGAGCTTTTGAGGGCCACATGGGAAGCCCGCCGCTTGACAGTTGCCCCACCCCTATTGCCATTTTGGGACCAGAAGGTCCCGCCCCTAACCCCTGAACTTTGCCACCAGCAGTCCCTCCCCTTGCCCCCTGGAAATACTCCTTTTGGGAGGGGAGGGTTGCCATCTTAGAACCAGAAAAAAAACAAATCATATGCTAAAAGTTAAGCACCTGCTATAACATTTTAATTTGATTACAAAAAAATATTTTTGTCATGATATGTGTTTGCATACTGTATATAGAGGTGATTGCCTAATAACTCAAAATGAAGTCTTAGTCTTGTATGGTGGGATGTGGGGGGTGTGTATGGTGGAGGGTGGAGGGGTTTGTGAGGGGGTGAGGCTGTGTGTGGGGGACACAGGGTATGTGGGGGATTGTGGGGGAGGGTGTGGGTATGTAGGGTTTGTGGGGTGTGAGGGAGGGGTAGGGACGTGGGGACCCCCCCCACACTCTCCCCATGGCGTGCAGTCCCTGCATGCTGCAGCAGCAGCAGGCAGTGGCACTCATGCCTGGTGGCATGTGGGTCTGGCCAGCACTGCACACAGGGGCAAGTGGCACAGCCTGGCCAGCTGGCTGTATCACAAGGGCTCCCCTTCACACATGCACAACTTCTGCACTCGTGCTGGAGGGAAGGTCCAAGTGCTGGAGTCAGCTGCATTCTCTGCTTTCTGCCATGCAGGTCCCAGGACTCTGCAGGGAAGCAGGGGCTGGGGCTCCCCTCCAGTTTCGGGAGAATCCCAGGATCTGTGCAATAGAAGGCGGCACAGGCAGCTGGCTCCAGCACATGGGGCTCCCTGTCTGTGGGTGGGGAGTGCTGGTGATACAGGAGACCTGGCTGGGCTGCGCCCCTTACCCCTTTGTGCAGCACTGGTCAGAGCTGCGTGCTGCTGAACATGAGTGCCTCATGTGCCCCCACCTGCTGCTGCTGCCACTACCTGCAGGGACTGTGAGCTATGAGGGGAACATGGGTGGGCTCCTCCTCACACTCGCATGCTGCCCACCCGAGCTCCACACTGCCGCCAGCTCCAGCCCCACACTCTATGCCCTCCCAGCTGCAGCTTGCCCTCACCCCTGCCGCTTCTTCACCTGTTGCCCAGAGCGAGCGGGACACCGGGGAAGCTGAACAGGTCCCCCGGTGGCTGCAGCGGTGTCAGCAGCAGCCCTGCACAAAAGCTGCGTGCTGGCTGGGCAGGGCCCTTCCTCCTACAAGCATTCGAGTGAGGTGCAATTAGGGTATGTTGGGGGAAGGGGGAGGGTATACGTGGGCACCTTGCTTCTACCCTCGTGGGCAGAAGGGCTGGGTGGGGTACAATTTGTTGGTGGGTGCCACAGACCGGATAAAAAGTCCCTGGCAGGCTGAATCCAGCCCACAGACCATATTTTGCCTGTCCTTAGTTTACCCTGTTCCCAAAAACCTCAGGAGCAACCCTCATGCACAATTAGCAGGCAGAAGGCCTTAGACATCAAAAACACCCTTCAATTTGCCACAGGTAAAGCCAAGGGACAAGGGCACGCAGTATCATGTGAACTATTGACCAACCGTGTTAAGGATGGATTTCACAGGCTCTGACAGCTTATTGTCCATCCTTGAGTGTGTGCATTTTTATCCATCGTCGTGGTCTGAAGATAATTTTGTTGCCCTGACTTTATTTCTAGGTATGGAGATGATTTGCAAACAGATGGTGTGACAAACTGAGTGTTAATCAGGGCACTGAATGTTAAATCAGTTGTGCTTGAAAGTGAGAGGAACCAGCTGAACTAAATATTGCCGTTGTTAATGGTTCCACGGTGACAATATATTCACAGCCAAGGTCTGCGTCCTCTGGTGGCTTTACACCATTGCTGCCATTTACTAATGACATACCAGTAATTTTATGGGTTGGAAACTGAATGATCTGTAAAACATTGACTCTTGCTCTAATTATTCATCCATTTCAATGTGTGGCTTCTTTTCACTTTTAATCGGATCTTATAGAAATAAGAACAAAGTGACAGACACCAAAAGACCATTTAAGTACTGTGGCTTGCAGTTTCAGAATCCATCTATCCTTTATCTGTGAAGCTGCATTTACTCCCTTATTTTGGCCCTGTGCTTTCATAATAGCCGTCCTCCATCCCTTTTCCTTTTTTGTTAATGGTCTGTTTTGAATGTACATATAATTGTCATTTTCAGCCAGCACAGCAAAGGTGGCTGCAACTCAGTTTGATTTTGTCTTGATACATTTAGGTGTTGCTTCACACTTGGTGCAGAGTATTTTCCATGTGTCAGACCCCTTCTGGTTGGGGAGAAAAAAACAGGGAAAAGGGAATCTGGAGGGTGAGCTTCCAGGGGTACTTTGGTGGTCCATGCCAGCACTAACTAAACTAGTGTAAAGGAGCTGAGGACATGACTAAAAAAAAATGACAGTGTATCTTCAATTAAAATTGTGGGGGTAAATGATGTGAGCAGACAAAGATTCTGCTAGAGTAGAGGTTCCCGCATGTTTTCTTATTGTGTACCCCCTTCCAGATTTACCAGCTGTCTGCATACCCCTACCAGCATACATTTTATATTTTAACCCCTTAAATGCCAATTATTATTATAATGACAATTAAATCCTTCATTACAGAGTTTCTCCTGCATACCCCCCCCCAGAAATGTCTTGCCATACCCCCAGAGGTATGTACCATAGTTTGGGAATCCCTGTGCTGGAGTAACTCCTATTTAAAATTTACCTATGGCTAATTAGGATCTCTCTTCTGTGTACAGAGAAATGTTAAGAGCAGGTGGTGGATTAGGAGAGCCCACAGCTGTAAATTCTTTTCCCTCCATTGTTTGTCTGTTAGAGTGGGTCAATAGTTAAATAAGGCCAGTCCCAGTGAAAGAGGTTTGGAAGAAGGTTTGTCTCTTACCAGGTTTCCATGCTGACTCAAGGTATAATTCAGACTTTGCAATGGCTGTTTGCTCTTCAGAAATGCAGGCAAAACCATTCTGCTTTCTTAAAGGACCTCAGCTAATAATGGCAGGGAGAACGGCTTTCCAGAGCTATGCCCGGTTGCCCTTAGGCTGGTTCTGCTCTGCACAGCTGTGAGCTCCACCCTGTGAACCGAGACTGTTTTTGAGTTGAAAAGCTCTGCCTCACCTAACTGTTTCTACCTTTTGTTCCCACAGCAGTCCTGTGTCAACTGTGGCCGGGAGGCTATGAACGAGTGCACTGGGTGTCACAAAGTGAATTACTGCTCTACTTTCTGCCAGCGGAAGGTAACGGATTCTTTCTAAGTCACACCTACCCTTCTCTAAAGGCAAGCGGCCTGATTGGAAAAAGACACGTACACGCCTTGCGCTGAACACCCCACAAATAAGCACAGTAAGAAGCCCCACCTGCATATTCCTACCTGCACGCTTATATTCCAGCGTGGGCTTTGAGTTCCACAGATCTTGTTCATAATACTTCAGTGTGGCATCAACATGACATAAGCCATTGAGGGATGGAAGCCTATGGGCTGGCTATGAAATTATGGCAGTCTCCTATTTTTGGAGTAGTTCATTTTCAATATCTCTTGGGTTGTTCATGCTTCTGCTGCCATCCCAGGGGTCTGTTGTATCTTGTGTCCATCGCTAGCAGCCTGCCTGCTCCACTGCTGACCTATAGCAGTACGTTATTACCAGCAGAGTGCCAACCAGGGAGCAGCTGTGATAGTGAAGGGACGCTTTATTAATCAGCGAATAAGGAGACATAGTTCTTTTTCTGTAACACCTGCCTGTATTGCATAAGTAAAATCTTCATTTAAAAAAGATATGGATGTATGTTGCATGCAACATATCCCTGTCCTCAAGCCAGGCTCATAAATTAGGAGACATCTGTGAGCCCCAGTGCTCCTGCCATGTATTTCCACTTTGTGACAAGCTCTTCTTTGTCATTGGGAGCTTCTGTTATCTCCAACTGGCAAAGAAAATGCATACTATCAGTGTATTCATTCCCCTCAGAGTGCTCCCACAGCCTCACTTATGCCCTTGCACTTGCTCCATAAGCATAAACACACTGCTCATATAACCCATGTGCATTTTTCAGCAAAACCATTGCTGGTGTTGCTGCCACACCCCTCAATAATATTCCAAGGAGTTTCCTGCCATTTCCAGATCACTTTTTTAAAGTTGAACTCCCAATGACAAAATGAAAACCCAAGCCTGAAGCAGGCCATTGAATGCCCCAGTAGGTGAGCTGTGGGAAGCATTAGACTCAGAAACATGCACTGATGCCTGCCCTTCTTATAGCAACCTTGGCACATCCTTATTTGCAAAAGACTTCCCACAAGACCTTGCTATATCATGTCACTGACTTCCCAAATTTCAGCCCAAATTACATTGATGATATTACCAATATACTGTGGGATGAGTTAAGCAAATCAGGAAGTGCCTCGGGACTTTTCAAGTGAAGGGAAAAATCAAGCATAGAAAGGTAAGATGAAGTCAAATTGTATGCCGAACACCTGCTGCAGACCATTTCCTGAGACATTCAACATCTGTTTCTTGTCTGGCCTCCAAGGAGAACTGAAAAATTACTTTAGCTGCTGTCAAGGGCACCAGAGTGTTTTAATAGTCAATGTATGGTCTTCTCCTCTGTTATTTACCTACTTTTGCTTTGTAAGAAAGAGCAATTGTTGCTGCAGTTTCTACTCACTGCGTAGAGTCATTAAAATGTTCCAGGAATGAATGAACATGTGCTGCTGTAGCCACTTTAAATTTGCATGTTGTTTTCAGTTGGTCTGAGGACTAGCTGCCCTACCAGGTTATTTCATTCGAGTGTAATGCAAGATGGCCAGTGCATATGGCACTGAATAGACCCAACTTCACTTTCGTACTAGACAAGATGGTTAACTGCCAAACAAGCCAAACAGCAGGCCCACTGCTGGTGCCAGGCAAATTGTGCTATATCGGAGTTTCATGCAGCTGTTGGCAACTGCATCTTGAAATGCTGGCTCCCCCTGCACAATCCGATGTGCTAAACAGGTAGAGAAGCATACTGCAGGTGATGAGGTTGGTGATGCAGTGCAAGGTAAACTTTCCCCTTTTTGTACTGAATCTGAGTCCCATTATTACACTAATGGGGTGTGTGTTGTCTTTTAGGTCAGGGGTCAAACAAACCTCTTAACCATCTAGGAGTATTCAAGCTCCTGCAAGTCCTTTTCCCACAGTCTGGGGAACTGGCTTTGCTGTCCTGGGTGGAGTCCAGCTTGGAGAATTGCTTGTCTACCTGGTTAATTCCCCTTTGCAGTGTCAGCTTGATGCAGCACTCATTATGTATTCTACTAAATTGGTTTAGTTTTGCAGAGCCCTGGGAAGCCATCACTGCATTTCTTCTGTCAGGGGAAGTGATTCCTTAATATAGTTTATAAAGGTTGACAGATCTTTTTGGGACCCTTCAGGGGAGTATATAAACAGGTGGTTTCTGAGCCTCCTCTTGGTGCTGTTGCCATTTGCAGTCACTAGATCAGTGTCTCTCTTTGTTCTGTCCTTGCAGGATTGGAAAGATCACCAGCACATGTGCGGTCAGTCAGCCACCGTCACAGTTCAAGCAGACGAGGACAACGTGATAGAGAAAGTCACAGTCTGACAAATCTACCTCTTCAAGTTCCCAGAAAAGTTGGAGAAAGAAGGTGCCTGGCTGGACCAGCAAGCTGGCTGCAGACTCCTCCAATGGATGGTTGTCTGAAAACTGAACTCTTCTTAGGAAGCCTTTTTCATATGCTGTGACATCCTTTTCAGGCCTACGCCAAACTTGTCAGCAGTGGAGAAACTGAAGATATGTGACCTGAAAATGATAACTAGACTTGCTGGCCAGGAGGCCGCCTTCAATTTACAGAAACTTTGGACTCTAAAATTAATCTCTCAAGACTCAGAAACCTCTGCAATGCAGATTTCATCTTTCTAGCCATCTCTCTTGTTCATCTACAGTGGCTGGTTCGAGGGTTAAGATGCATCAGTGTTTTATACCCCCCATCAACATCACCTTACCTCTCATGTGAAGAAAACAAATAGTCCTTTGTTTAATTTATTTAATTGCCTTTAAAAAAATGCAGCATCAGCTATAGTCCATCACTGATGCCCCTTTTTTTGATGCATTTCTTCCACCATGGTCAAAATTTAAACATATTGGAAAGATGCACATGTATATAAAGGGAACATGTTTTGTTAAATAAAATACTGAGAAATCATGAAAGCACATTGATGGAACATTAATTCCCACTACAGCACTTAATTACAGGTATAAGCATGGAGAATTGGCAGGCGAATGAATGACAGGAGCACCCTGCGTGGAGTGCAGCTGGCATTATGGGCAGGTTGTGTGCAGTTATGTGCTGTGTTTGACAAAGGGATATTGAGGAAGAAGCCTGAGTTTGCAGTACTCCATGCTGTAAAGTGAAGAAACTTCATGGCATCGTAACTTCAGACTGCCACCCTGTGGCTAAGCAGTTTGCCCCTAAAGTAAGAGAAGGAATTGGTTTCCTTCCTGCTATTTGGTATACTGACAATCCAGACTTTGCTGGTATTGTTAAAACAAAATGCAGAGTGTTTAATAAGTAAAATGCACAGGTGGTAGCAATTGCTAGTTGTTAATATCTGATGGCTCGTGTCTTATGAAAAAGGAGCTGTTCCTCTCCACTTAGGAGCTAGTGGATAAGGGAAATAATGTGCAACTTCTAGTAGCTTATTTTAGCATCTCTAGGATGGGAATAGGGTTTCTCTTTCATGAGCTAAGTATCTGATTCCTATCTGTCTTGGTGTGGTCTCACATATGCTATATATATATGCTAGAAAGCAATGCCTAGTTGAGATGCTTCAGAAAGCAAAGGTATAGCTTCAGTGCAGGAAAACTCTGGATCAGCCCATTGTTTATGATACCAGAAGGCAAAAAGATGCGGCCACATTTCCACAGCATCTTACTTCACAATCCAGGATAGTAGAGACATAACTGGTAAGGTTTGTACCCTGGGCAGCTTCTGTGAGGGGACGTGTCAGCACAGCCAGCAGCCAAAGGGCTACACGGTGCACAGATGCTGTTAGGACAGTACTGCAGCCTGTGCATCTCACTCCAGTCACCCTAGTGACAAAGGCATCAGCTCCGGGGAGGGATGGTGCTGCATTAACCCGTGGCTGCTGACCATGCTGACACCTTTCCCCACAACTCCTGAGTAGTGTGGGGCTCATAAGGGGATCTGGACTGACAAGGGGAGTAGGGACACAAGCCCTCAGCTACCTCACAAACAGGGTCAGCTGTGATCCTAGAGTGTCACCAAT